TTAAGAGAGATGGTCTCTCTTTACAAGAAATTCAAAATATAAATAATCTAAAGAGCCAAATAAAGGAGCAATGGTAGGAAACAGAGAGGTAAACTTTTGGGAGGTGGGAAGGGAGATCTGGGAACAAGGGAAGAAAGGAAGTTTGAGGAGGAAGGGACCAAAATTGATCAAGATATGATGTGTATGTGTATTAATTCTCCAAAATGAATGAATATAGTTATTATGTATCACAAACATATACAAATACAAAATTAAATTAAATAGAAAAACATGGGCATGTGCCACTCAGTTTTTAGGTCTCAGTACAAATTCCCTTCCTCCAAAGAGCCTCCTTATCTTAACTCCTCAGCAAATACTCCCATCATGCTTTCTTTTCCTCCTGCAGGTAAGAGCCAAGTACTGAGTGATGGAGCCTGGTGATCCTCAGCCTTCCATGGAGTGTGAGCTCCTTCAGGATACTGACTCCTGCCCACTCGGGGCAGAATCCCCAGTGTCCTATCATAGCACAGGACCTGGTGCAGAGTGGTGCTTCACAAGTGTTGCAGAAGAAAAGTTGAACAAACTATCCCTAGTGGTACTCATGGGCCATTTCTAACAAAACCTTGAGACCAAATCTGGATACTCTAGGTCAGAGGTCTGCAATCCCTGGGTCAGGATCTGTACCAGTCTGTGACCTTCTAGGACCTGGGCCATACAGCAGGAGATGAGCAGTGGGTAGGGGAGCGAAGCTTCATCTGTATTTATAGACTGAGCTTCACCTCCTGTCAGACCACTGGCAGCATTGGATTCTCATGGGAGCGTGAACCTTACTGTGGAGTGTGCGTGTGGAGAATCTTGGTTGCACACTCATTGGGATCATCCCTAAACCATCCCACTCACTCTAACAGAATCTGTGAAAAAAATTGTCTTCTACAAAATTGGTCCCTGGTGCCCAAAAGTCTAGGGACTGCTGCTCTAGATCTAGATGGTATATTTAACCATGCTTTCTGGCTGCCTGGTTTATCTCTTGGCCTTCTTGTCCATCTGCTCCTGAGTCTCCCTGGTCTGTCCACCACCTCTGCGCAGTGGTATTTTATACCCTCTTTGCCCCATGTGCATCTACTCAGGTCATCCACTGGCCTTTCTGGCACCGTGTCTCTGGAGATGATTTCCAGTGTGCCTCTCTATGCCTTACTCCTCCCTGCACAGCTGGGGTGGGGAGGCACCCACTCAAAGACCTCTACCCCTTTCTGTTTAAGCCGACTCCAGACAACATGGATCTCAGCAAGTTAACACTCGCTTTGGCACTTGGGCCTGTGCTTTGCAGGCAGATGCTTCATTCCACAATAATCTGCTCGTTGTTCACAGTTTCCATGTGTTTGGAGCAGGTGCAACCTCTGCCCTTTTCTTTCTATGTTCATACTAAACCCTTCTCTGAGACATGGTCTTTTCACTGTAGGGTAGCAGAAGTAGCAATGGGACCTGTCTTTTTTAATCCACCAGTGGCTTGACTTTGGGCAAATCACACTCCCGCCCTAAGGTTCAGTTTCCTTGTCTGTAAAGTAAGATAACAAACAGGAACATCGCCAAGGTTGTTGGGAGAACTGGACAAATTCCCTATGTAGTGGGGGAGGCCTTCCCAGGTAGAAGGTCCTCAGCATTTCTTTCTACAGTGAATAGGGCATGTGCTGTTTGAGAAGGGTGGGCTCCATTAAGACAATGCTTGAGGTTTCTTGTAATATAAACACAAGGAGACTAAGGACAGGGCTATTGCCTTCCTCTTTCTCTTGGCTTCTCCTCTCTTTGTCCTTGGTTCTGTAGCCAAGCTGCTCAGAGAAAGCTTGATTTTATTTTCTGGGAATCTCTACTGATCTAAGGATCTCCAAGGTAGATACGCTCCCAGCTGAATCAATGGTTTACTGATTTTTTGGGTCAATGCCCTGCAAATGATCACAACGTTTTGAATACTTATATCCGGCAGTCGATGACAGTATCCTGTAAACATCTGCCTAATGTTTGCGGGCTTGAGCTGTGTGCTCAATAAGAATCAGCTGTGTTTGTTCGCAATCTAATTATACCAGTTGTGCATTTTATTGTGGTTATAAATTTATTTAAACAAAATGAAAAGGGATAAAATTAATATGAAAACAATGAAATCAAAACCCTGTGAAAGTGAAAATAAATACTTCAAAAATACCAGTTGAAGAGTGAGACCGAGTTGAGGTAGGTGACATGTGAAAGCCTGGGAAAATTTGTTAAAAAGTCTGGAAGGACACCGCACTCGTACTGCTTTGCAAATCTCTCTCTCCATTCTCACTCTACTTTAAAAAATGGAAATTGAAAAGCATATGTAATGCACTATGGAAGACAGTGCTGAACATCAGAAGGCTGGTGAATGGATGTGCATTTTATGCTACAAACTGAAATAAAGTGTTTATAGATGAGTGTATCATTTTTTAGTGGTTCTTTCCCTTAAAAGATATATGTTTATAAATTAACTCCATGCCACTGGTGTTGATTTAGTCGGATGAGGGGGTTTTCGATGTCCCTGGCTGATATATTCTAAGCAGACAGACCCACTTCCACCTCTTTTTCTTTCATTACTTGTCTCTCTCACTTCATAATCCACTCATTCAGCCTCTCAATAAACAGTCACTGAGAATATAAACCAGCTCTGTGCTCAGAGCCTGCTCTCTTTACACTTTTCTATGCTGTCTCTATTCGGAGTCAGACAGCATCTTATTTGGTCGCCTCCTGCTGTATTTGTTATTCATGCTGCCTGGAAGCCTTTCCCACCTTACACCCTGAAGTGGTGTAAGCTCTCAAAGGAGAGAGGCAATTACAACCAAAACAGGTACTGCGAAGGCATTTAAAGAACTCGTTCTGCAGTTGCTGACATGGCTAACAACGCCAATGCAAATGCTGATGTTAAACTTCAGATTCAGACAGAAAAGGAGACCAACACATCATCACCAGCATCGTCTCGCTGGATTTCACATCCACCTGGGAGATGTCCGGGTGCATAAACAGGAAGCTTAAATGACTTTCCCAGGGGCAAAGACAAATCTGTGACTATAAGCCAAGTCATTTCATTTCCTAACAAGCCAACTATTCTCCCAACCAAACTTCAGGTTTGTGACTCTCAGACATTTTCTGGGCATGATACACATGGTATGATAGATGGTGTTTCTATGTGAGATACCCTTTGATTCTGATGACTTCTGAAACATTTTAAGTTTTGACCTATGTGGACAGAGCCTGCAAGTTATCCACCAAAAATCCTTTCTTGGCTGGCTTCCTTCCTTCCTTCCTTCCTTCCTTCCTTCCTTCCTTCCTTGCTCACAGAACTCCCAGCTTCTCTTGCAACTAGACATGGCTGTGTGACTGAGTCCTGGCCAATGAGATGTGAGCAGAAGGGAGCACAAAATCCTAAAAAATCCCATAAGGGCTGCTGATCCAGCTGCAAGGAGGACACTTTGTGCTGAACCCCACTCTGTAGGCCCCTGTTTGCACTTGCTGGAGCGCAGGTGGAAGGCAGGACATCTTCATAGCTTTCTATGCCATTTAGTGACTCTGAAGACAGAGGCAAGAGCTAAGACAGTGGGGAAGCCGCTGAGAGAAGCTTGGGGTTTTAATGACAGAGTCTCTGCACCAATGAGCTGGGAGGTGGGAGTGATGTCGTTTTGCATGTGCCCAAGACCTAGATCCAAATGCCGTGACAAGGGGAGGAGTAAGTGTCCTGGAGGGGCCATTTCTTTGGGCCTTATGGTGATTGCAACCCAAGAAAGCCAGTATGGGGCTTGGGGAATAGAATATCTCACAGAACTAGAGAAAGAGGTCCTCATTTGCTCTGTTTCTGTCTAGCACCTGCCATGTACTAGGGCATGAGGACCTGACGCATGCCCAGGGCCTTTGAATAGTCCAGGTGAAAACCCTTGTGGGTTTCAGGGCTTGCCCCTGCCCTGTGTCCTCGGGAGGTTGGCAAGGCTGCTCAGGGCTCCTGAGGGAGGGACTGTGGGGCATTTCTACCTCAAGCAGCGCTGAGGACAGCATCGTCAACCATAGAGCTCGAAGCAGAGAGCTGAGTGTGATTCTTGACCATGTGTGCTGGCTGGAGAAAATTGGGGTGCAGGGTGCCCTGGATCATTTAGGTCAGACATCTGACTGGTGACACTTGAGTTATGACCTCAGTTGTACACTCAGGAGAGAGAATTTAAGGACAAGCAACACATGCAGGTGACACACACAGATGACAGGGTGACCCGGGATGCCCCAGTCAAGAAACGTTGTGTTATTTCAGGAAGAACCAACCCTCCACATCGTCCCCTGGCTGCTCCTTTTAGATTGACCTGCCATGAAGACATTCAGACCATTGGGTCATATCTACTCTTCTCAACTTCAAGGATGACATCTTCTGGAGAGGAAAGGTCAGGGGCTTTTTCAGGCTCAAAGAGAAAGGAACAAGAAAGAACAGGAACCCATGATCACCCTGACAATAGGGCATGAGGGCTGCTTCTTGGTTACATGGGTTTTCTGTGTTAGAACAAAATCCAAGCTGACTGAATTGGTTTGATAACAAGAGCATTTTCCTCTGAGCTTCAACTTGCTGTTCCAACTACCAACCCATCTGTGATATTTTCCAGCTGAATGCCTTCCTGCAGCCAGTCAACTTATTTTGTCTGTGTTTGTGTTTGATCCTCTGGATCCCAGAAGAATCACTACTGACATCCAGAATTCAATCAATGCACTCGGTTTCTGGAAAACAGACATTCAGAGCTTTAAGACATGCAAATTGTAAAGCTGGAATGAAACCTTAGAGATGATCAAACCCCACCTCTCATTTTATAGCTCAACAAAAATGAGTGCTGGAAGAGGTCAGATGAGTAATTAAGATAAACGTGAGTGTGGAACTTGGGGGACTGTAACTTACAAACGGTGATGAAACATGTCATTCTGCAGTTTTGCATCTGGATTCTCATAGACTGGCTCAGATGTACTAATAAAGGCGCAGGTTTCTGTTTTCTGTGTAGTTTTATTGGAAGATATTTAAACCATTTTCTGAGTTAGCTGCAGTCAAATTGGGTAGAATAATAAGCATAGATTCACTGTATGGTTTCCTTACACAGATCAATGTCACCTGTGAAGGCGTTGCTCACCCTTTTTGAAGCATCCTCTAAATTATAATATTCCCCACTCCTCCTCCATTCCTTCTTCCTCTGCCTCACCCCTCTGCTTTTTTCTCTCCTCCTTCCCCCACCTCACTTTCCTGAGCTTCCTCCTTCCTGTATTTGAACTTCCGGTCTGATTTCTTCCTAGGTCTGCCTTAGAGTATAACGTTCAACTGGGACTTTTATCTCCATCAGCAATTTTCCCTATTATTCTTTCCTTCCTCTCTTTCCACTTTGCCCTGAGCTCTCGTTCTCCAAAATAAGGAGCTATCAGAATTAATGAACACATTTGTTTCCTCTCTATGAAATGCACACTGCAATTACTGCATTTCTAAATCAGCCAGTGGTGTCACGTGACACAGTCTGAATTGCCTGAGTGTGACCACAATTGGTGCTGCCTGATAACCTTGGGAACAAGGTTACAGAGATGCAGGAGGTTTGGATGAGAGAACAGCTTTTCCTGCTCTGTGTTTGCCTGATTCCTTTATTTTCTATTTGGAACATGTGCAGGGCTCTAAGCCAGAGGCAGTGACTAGGTTACACTGTGATCAGTATTCTACAAGGCTGCCAAGGAAAAACCTAAGACACATGATTTTGCTAGCAGAGCAGGTGTCCTGCTTTGAGTTGTAACATAGCTGGTGAGCAATAGCTCATGAAATGACCTTCTTTTCAATTTATTAAAGGGCAAGCATTTCTTAGGAATCCATGTATTTCATGGAGTTTTAAATTAACATTGCAGTGACAAGGGCCCTCTCCAAAACTCTTGCTCTGACTTTGACTTTCTCAGATTTGGGCATTAAGCCTGCCATTTCTTCCTTTCAGACTGCAAGTTCAAATGCATGGCTGAGCAGTGAGTGTGTGCTGTGGGCTGCAGGTGAGGGCCTGTCCTTCTCAGACATGGGGTGAATGTGATTGCCGAGTCCCCTTGTATTCCCCTTGTATTCCTTGCTTTTTTGTTGGTCAGAATGAGGAAAATGCTGCTCAGCGCCTTTCATCCCACAAGGTGGACCACTACCCTCATGGTCCTGAGCAGTCACACGAGTGTGAGATGCAGGGGACACGTGTTATCCCTGCATGAACTGGGCTCTCTGGGTCATGCTTTGACTTGCTCTGGCTGTGTTTTTCATTCAATGCTGATCACCTGGCCAAAGAAACACAGGTGAATTGGTTGTGCTAGCACAGACCTCAGCCCAAGCCTTCTCCTCTAGCACATCATCCTGCTCCTCCCGTCCTGCTGTAGGCCCAGCAGGAGCACCTCCTTGAAGAGCAGGGTGAGTAGGCATGCTCTGGGGATCACAGGGCACTCTTGGGTGACTCCAGGATGCAGGAATAAAAATATCCCAGAGGTTACTCTGCCCAAAGGTTCCTGGAAGAATAGAGACAAAGTAATAAGTAATATGCACACAGTGGAAGATATACTGTCTTCTAATTAGAGCCAAGCTTACTCCTAAACATGACTAGGTCTACTTGATCCTGATGATGTTGCTTTAATCAAACTAGGTTGTGTCCCTACAGTTCCATAAGAAACAATTTCAGGGCAAGCGCTCTTGGGGTCTGAAGCCTAGAATGTTCCCCATGAAATGTATCAAAGGGTTCATAGGCTACTCAATAATATACTAAGAATATGCATGAAGAATTAAAAATAGTTCCAGACCTACTTCAAGAAACATACATTGCAGGACAAGATAACATACTGCAATAGGTCTACAGTCCCTTTGAGCAGGAGGTCAGGCTATTCTGGCTACTCTGGCCACTCTGGCCTATACATGCCCAGGCCTTTTGCCCACCACAGAGCTCCCCTCACTAGTTCTGAATTGTCTCTACCAAGACATGGTCCTCATGATTAGACAACTCCTTACCAGACTCATTGCCCCAGTCCCACCGAGTTTTCTTAAATTTGAATATCTCTGATCTTGCTATTTTGGGGAGAAAATAAGCCTACTTTATGCTATGGACTGAATTATGTCTCCTCATTCGTATGTTGAAACCCTAACCTCCAGTGTGACTATATTTGGAAATAAAGGCATGAAGGAGGTGGTGGAAATTAAATAAGGTCATAAGAGTTGGGCCCTGATCCATTAGGATTACTGTTATTATAATAAGAGATAATAATCTCTCTCCACCATGTGTGGATATAAGAAAGTGGCCCTTTGTGTCCAGAGAGAGAGCCCTCACCAGAAAGCAACCTGCTGGGACCCTCGCCTTGGACTTCTAGCCTCCAGAACAGAGAGAAAATGTTCATTAGGCTGCCCAGTGTATGGCATTTTGTTATGACATCCTGAGCGGCCCAACACAGTTGACTTCAGAGAAGTCACAACTCAATGGAGGCTGCATCTTTGGCCCTGAACTGGGGCTGAGGGGAGGCCAGACGGATGCTCCCTACCTATGTACGCTCCGTCCCTGGTCCACAGGCGCACTGTGCGATCGAGGGAAGATGACAGCAGAACATTTTCTTCCTCTATCAGCTCCAAACTAACGAGGTAAAGGAGAAAAAAGGCGTTGGATCAGTATGTCAGTACTGCTTTAATTTAGTTTGGGATACAGAAGTCAGGTTCATCTCCTGAATTCTTCTGGAAACCATTTTCCCCACCTCCTACCACACCACACTGCCTCCAAATGCCCCAACTCCAGCCCCAAAGTCTGAACAGAAGACCGAGAGGCTGAGAACAATCTAGCAAGAGTTCAGGTCTCTCCCTTGGCATGGACTCTTTCCAGCTCCAGCAAACAAAACTTAAAACTACTAAGCTTACAAACTTGTACTACAATACCAGGTCAATTCAAGGAAAACAATAACCCCTTTTTAGGAAAAAATGAAGATTTTAGAATCTGTTCCTTTACTTCAGTGTAGACAGTACAGGTCTTGTTTTTATTAAGAGCAGAAATGAAATGCAATTTTCCTTCTTAGGCCAATTCAGAGGGCTTTGGAGAAGACTGACTTGGGGGAAAAATTATTTTCGTTCTGACAAATTCTTGAACAATACAAAAGATGGTACTCACGATGTCACCATGCTGACATGGGCCCTCCAGAAGGTCACATCTAAATTGAAGAAAATCACTGAGTAGGGTGGGTAGTTAGCACACATGGTGGCATATACCTATTCCTGCAGGGCGTGTGTGTCCCGGATGTGCATCCAGCGGGCAGTGTAGCAAGTCATCGGTCTTGCAGCATTAATTTCATAAGGGATCACTGAATGCCCTCTAGACCCCGTGACAGGCCCAAAGGCACAGGAAATGGGAGCTGTGCAAGACACTATGATTTTCTTCAGTGATTAGGATCTGGTAAGCATGAGGAGAACACAAGTAACCAAAAATGATTTTTAGAACAGTCTTGTAAAAGCTGCACTTCCTGTTAGAGTTTGCATCTGGACCCAGTTTGGTCCAAAGACCCATGGGTTAAAGGTTTGGTCTTTAATATAGTTCTGTTGGGAAGTGATGGAAGATTTCAGAGGGGAAGTGTACTGGGAGGTATTGGGTCTTTGGGGAATGCAGCTTCCACGGAGATTGTGGGACCCTAGTGTCTGTCTGTCTGTCTCTCTGACTGTCTCTTTCCCTCCCTCCCTCCTTCCTTGCCGTGAGGTGAATGGCTTTGCTGTCTCACACATTTTTGCCTGATACTCTGCCACAGGCCCAAAGCAGCAGGGCCAGCTGGACGGATAGCTCCAAGACTGTGAGCCAAAGTAAACCGTTTTTCTTTATAAGTTGATCATCTCCGATATTATAGTAACAGAAATCTGATTCACATACTTTAGTACCCAGAATAAAAACAAATACTAAGCACACTATTTTCATTTTTTAATTCTGATTTCTCTGCTTTGTTGTTTAAACTTCTTCTATGCTCATATAGGAGTGCTGGAAAAAGAGACGTATGGATTATTTATCTCTGAATTGGATTTCTGGAAATATAGTTGATGCAATATTATACAATCATTTAAAAATTAGGCAAAGGCAAATATGCTTATTTAGACAGTTTCTTAAGAAATACAAAGAAAAAATACATTCTGAAGCATTGTTTTGTGTGTGTGTGTGTGTGTGTGTGTGTGTGTGTGTTATATAAAACCCTTCTGGAAGGAAATTCAAATTCATTAACAGTTTTATTAGGAAATATAAATGGACTTTAGGGGAGTAGAAGAGGTCAGAAAAGGAACTTCATTTTCCATACTGTTTGATTTTTTTTCTAAACGAGAGGTTTTATAGTTATAGGAAAGGTTGTAAAATTTTAGACATATTTTTGTTATTACAAAAGCAATATACATGCAGGAAAATTTTAAAAGATAGCTTTTTAGAAGAGAAGGAAATAAACACCCATTACTTCATCTACAAAGAGATGAAGATTATTAAAACCTTTTTGTATATTTTTCTGGACTTCCAGTTTTTCATGCAGTCCTTTGTTTTAACAAAGATGGACTCATACTGTAATACTATTAAAAGATCTGACTTTTTTCACTTGACCCATTTATCATGACTCTTTTCCTATGAATACATATGCAGCATCATTATTTAGTGACTAATATTCCAATATATTATACCATTGTGTTCCCCTTATATAGAACATGCAGTTTGCCTCTATTTTCCCCCTCTTTCTCATAAATAATGTACTAATACAACATCATATAACTAAATCTCTGCACACATGCACATTTATTATTTCTTTTTGCCAAATCCCTAGAAGTTCCATTGAGAGCTTTAGCTATATACAATCAACTTGCCCTTCAGGTAGGATATAGCAACTTACCCTCCATTCACGCGTGTATGTGTGCTCATTTTCTTGATGAATATTTTCATTCAAATGTTTTCCTGTATGTTTGCTTTCAAAGGATTTAAAGATAATCCCTCCTCACTGATACCGCTTAATTTTATGAGCCAGAATCTTGCACTGAAACCAAAGCTCTGCTCTCACAGTGTTTAACAGTGGAGAAGTGCATGGCTTACTCTTGGGCGGCTGCAGCTTTCGTCCCCACAGGCTGTGGTCCTCGATGTCATAGACATGCACAAAGCCTTGCTGGTCAGCCACGTAGACAAGGGCATCTCCCGCTGCCACGGTGACGCTGCTCACCTGGGCTTTTCCTCTGGACTGAGACACACATGGAGCTCATGTGTGAGACATACACAAAGTGGCAAGAGAAACGCTGTGCTTGGTGTACAGTTAGAACTAGTCAATCTCCTGTGAATCTTCCAGTGAGTTAGAAATGCAGACAAATAATGCTAACAGCTTAGAGCCTGGTAGAGTTGCTCTATTACTTAGGCTAGTGTCAAGAAACAAAACAGAACCAAAAACCAAACCCGTAGCTGGGAAGTTATGAAGTTGACCGCCCAACTTACAGGAGTGAAGTTTGCACAAATGCCAGCACCACTGAACAGCCTCCAGAAGGTGACAGAACCTGGGAGGAAGGGGACAGCAAGATGAGAATGTTTGCCCTGAGCCCACCCAGGCTGCGGCTCTGCGCCTTCACTACACAGGGCGAATATCTCTTCCTCTTTTTCATTTGGTTTATTTTGATCAGTTACAGTTACCAGCATATACTGGGAAGCAGCGCCTTCCTGCTGTGAGTTTTGGTTTCAATGACTCAGTAACCTCTCTTTTGTCCACTTATCAGGGAAGATTTCCTGATGGAGGAGGGGTTCAGCTTTGGCCGTGGAGAAAAGCATGGAAGATTTGTGATACGGTAGCAAATAGCACCTTCCGGTTTGGGGTGTTTATGTGTATTCATTTAAACATACTGTGAGAGCGGTCTGTTCAAAGGGGTTCACTGGAGATTCTGCTGTGGTATAGGGGATGTTCGGGTAGTACATCTTTGGGGAGTGGGCACCCCATGCCTATCACCTCCTCTTGGGAACTCCTTAAATCATAGATAATGTAATCCTCCTCTTCTTCTCCCAGGGGAGATGGGATGGTGTGAACTTTACCCAGGTAAAGCGGAAGAGGTGGGACCTCAGAGAGGTGAATGGAAAGACAGACACCCAAGGGCACCTGGTGCTAACAGGCCTGTAGTTTTGGGGCTGGGACAATGAGGATGAGTGGTGGGCAGGCGGGGACAAGAGCATAAACCCACACCCTGTAGTCAAATGCACTCAGGTGGCTGCTTTTAACTTGCAGTTTTACTTAAAAATCCCAGAGCTTGGGGCTGGATTTGGGTCCTTCTGTTACGCTGGAAGCGTAGAGATCGTGTTACTTGGTTAACGCCACTTGGCTAGTTAGTGGCCAGTCTCGGCCAAGGACCCTGTTCTCTAACCCCTAGAGGGCCCTCATTTCCTCCTCCATGAAATTTGCAGGCTCCAGAGCTGATCCCTGAGGCCTTGCCAGCTCTGCCTTACATGGGTCTTTGCTCCTCTTCTTCTGGCTCCTCTGTCGGGCTGCCCTTGGCTGAAAGGTTGTGTTTGATATTTGTTTAACCTGGTGGATGATGTCTTCTAGGCCTCACCTTCTGGGGATGGCCGCTGGCCCGTTTCACCATAAGTAGCCCAGGGCTCAGCCAGTCCTTCCGGCAGGCAGGAGGGGAGCAGGGTGACTTGACTGAGAGAAGCGGGATGGGGCATCGTGGCTCCTCACATCACTGCCACCCCGGAGGGGAGTGGTGAGGTCCGAGCATTGATGGGTAGCTGGCCTGGGCTCTAAAGAAAGTAAGGCCTATGGGGAAGTCGGAGGCAGCATAGGGCGAGCTTGGGTGTGGAGGGGGCTTCTCTTAGAAATGAGGGGTGGGTACCCACCAGGGGGCTTGGCCTCACCCCAGGTCCATTGGCAATGAGGGAAGCAGCAGATGCGTCCAACTTGGCTGCCTGAGTCTTCAAAAAGGCGAGACAGGAAACACTTAGGTCTGTGCCTGGACACAAAGGAGAGCTCATGCGGCTCGCAGCTCATGCTCTCCCTCTGTCTCTCGCTGTGTCTGTCTCTCCTCCTCTCTCTCTTCCCCTAACCATCCTGGTGGGTGATGTGCTGGAGGAGGATCCTTTCGAGTAAATGTGAGACACCTCGAGCAGGTAGACCTTCAGGAGCTTAGCCTGGGACCCTATAGACACTTCTCAAAGGGGAGTCTCTCCAAGAGCTCTTGGGTTGGAACAATACTGATCCATCTTTAATTCACCTTTTATATGAACCACAGACTTTGACTTACATGGTGATGGATTATTATTCCTATTGTCAGAAGAGGAGAGGGAAATTTAGACAACTTGAAAGATTTGCTCAAGATTAGAAGACATTCACTCTTCCCTTCGTGTTTCATCTGTGACTGAGGATGTCTTAGGGACCAGGCATCATGCTGAGTGTGGTACAAAGAAGAAGAAGAGATCTGAACCAAATGAATAAGAACCACTACTAAAAATGAGAAAATTACCATGCAGTCGTGTGAGAGAGGAGAGAGTCAGGGAAGACCCGCAGGGAGCTGCATTTACTGTGTACCCTTGAGAGAGGGAAGATATTGGGCTGAGCAGGTGCTGCAGGGGAGGCAAGTGTCAGCCCCATGCCTTCATCCCAAGTAAGTTCACCCAGTCCTGCTTCCCTGGGCTTCCCTTCACTTACCAGGCTTCAGGCACCATCAGTGCAGGGCCTGTGTCTATCCTTTCACTCCTTGCCCCTAATCCTTGCAGAGTGCTTGGCGCATAGAACTCAAGTGTTTGTTATTGAATAAAAATTCTGTTGGGTGTGGTGGTGCATGCCTACAATCCCAGAACTCAGGAGGCTGAGGCAGGAGGATCGTTGTGAGTTCGAGACCAGCCTGGGCTACAAAATGAGCTCAAAGCAAGCCTGAACTGCATAGTGAGACCCTGTCTCACAAAGACAAATAAATAAATAACTATAAATAAATACATAAAAATTCTGTGCAGCTACCTAGGCTCAAACCTCCAAGAGCCACAAAGAACATTGTTATCTGGGTGCAAGGAGCTTGGACAAAGAGCTCTCCACCACCACCAACCCACTTGAGCCAGAGGTCCCAGAGGCATATTATTCACACTAGAGGACAGATGGACAGTCATACACAAATCAGAGGTTATTAGGCACCAACTGTTTGTGTCTCATTCAATATTTGTGTTGAAATACTAACCCTCTACAGAATGGTATTTGGAGGAAAGGACTTTGGAAGGCAGTGAAGTCATGCAGGTGGACCCTTCCCTCATGCAAGGAACTAGCGCCCCTATGAAAGGGACCTCAGTCAGTTCTCTTGTTCTTTTCTCCATGCTGGGACACCAGAAGTCAGCAGTCTGTACTTTGGCAGACAGCCCTTGCCAGAGCCCCGCCATCCTGGTACCCTGGTCCTAGCCTTTCAGATTCCAGAAATGTGAGAAATACATTTCTATCATTTAGAAGTCATCAAGTTTATGGCATTTTGTTGTAGCAACTTGAACAGACTGAGACACAAGTTGCATAAATGATGGAATGGGGGTTGGAATTAAATACCGGAAGTTGCGCTTCCAGGTCTCCTCACTGTGAGTGAATCATCCCACAGTTCTTACTTTGGTCTCACGCTGAGAGCAGCACCATGCTATGCACTCAGGAACCGTGGTGGACACAGCAGACTCAGGCCCTGCCTGCAGGGCACACTGATCACAGCCTGGACTGTCCATTTCAGAGATACGCTGTATGTGACAGGCACTAGTGAGGCCCTTTCTCAACATGACCACATGCCATGATCTCAATCCTAAGTAGGCTAGAAATGCTCTGCTCTTACAGGAGAACCTGCTCTTCAGGAAGAGCCATAATGTGCCCAAGGCCACACAACTACTTGGAGGCGATGAGATCCAAACCCTGATGTTTGCTTCCAAAGCCCACACCCTTGATAATGTACTTTGTGCTTGTCCTTAGGAGGCTGAGTCATCTAAGAGGCAGAATACAGGGACACCTACGTGGTAGTGTGGCTTCTGCCGGACTCCTTGGCCTCAGTGTTCTCCTGATGCCTGGAAGACGCTGATGGTGATTTAGGCTAAATGTTAATCACTCTTGGTTATTGGGCTCCTGGGAGTACTAGACCTGGGGGAACCAGGCAGGGACATGGGAATGGGGAAGACACAAGGATGAAGCCCTTCACTGGCACACACTCCGCTGGGGAGGAGGAAGGGGTACAGAGAATGGGCACGCACACCGGTTTCCCCACTCACCCTTGTGGGGCCTCAGAATGTTTCACTCTCCCACTCCTCTGTTTTCTTTATCTGTGACACAGGCATAACCCACTTCACAGAGTTTTAAGGTGGGTCAAATGAGACCCTACATGAATAGCGCTACCTAACCGTGCCCGGAAGGCTGATTTAATGAAACTAACGTGCCTGGCATAAAGTCTTTCAACAAATGGCAGCTGTCAGGGGCTGGGAACTTAGCTCAGCAGCACAGCGCCTACCTGGCAAGTGCGAGGTCGTGAGTTTGATTCCCGGTATGTGAAACAAACAAACAAAAAAATGGCAGCTGTTGTAATGATTGTTACTTAACTCTCCAGCCTCAGTTTCCTCATTGAGGAGTACAGTAGTCCCTCACTCTCAGGCCCAATAGAAGCACTAAATGAAAGAAAAATACTAAAAGTATGTAGCAAAGATTAACATGTAAGAGATAGTTAGCGAACGTTGTATTGTTGTAGTAGGAAAAAACGCCTTTGTCTCAGGGTGAGGGCACTAATCTCGTAGATTTGCTTGGTTAAAAGCTCTTGGTCTCTCTCTTTTATACTCAAGTTCTTTCTTTTTGTTGTGGAGGAAGAGTAACAATGCTCGTTATGAGGAAAAATAAAGATAAAATGTTAGAAAGTTGGAAAAAAGACTGTTTTTACCTCATCCGGTTCTGCCCTTCTTTCTAAACTGCCCCCTCCCCTGAGAAAGACTTCCCTGGAAGAGCCGGCCAGATAGTTTCCAAAGAATATGGTGGCTGCTTAACCATCCCAAGTGAAAATGAGCACTGTGCTTTGGGTTTACCTTCAAGAAGAGTCAGCACTGCTCTTTCCTGGAAGGGTGTGGATTTTCACACGTTCCCATCTCACAGGGCAATTCTGGCGATGCAGAAGTGTGAGTTACTGGTGACAATGGTCGGCTTTGCATGTCTGGAGCATTCTGAAGGTTTTCCCCAAACCACCGAAACTGTCACATAACTCTGAGCAATAAATGCTGCTACAAAGAGGGTTTTACACTAGAACTACAGGTCTGCATTACACCCTTGGCGGGTGACTTGATTGTCATTTTAATGGCAATCAAAACAAACCCTTAGAAGAAAGTGCCACCAATTTTGAAAAACATAGACACTCAGAAAGAGCTTCATAGAGCAATCTTGTATATATATGATGGCATATATATGTAATGATGGAGACTAGGAATAGATTTGATGATACATGAACAAGTAAGAATTCCTTTTCAATCTCTTCGTTTCCAATGGCTTCAGTGTCTAAACTCCGTCTTCCAGGTAACTCCCAAGTGACATCAATGCTGCTTGCATCATGGCTTTAACATTATTTTAGCTGCGGTGCCTGTGTACCTTGTCTCTGAATGCGGGCTGTGAGCTCCTTGGAGGCAGCATCAGGCTCCATGTTTATCTCCTCTTCACCTTCCACGAGGTTATGCCCATGCAAGCAGCTCAAAAATATTTTCTGACTGAGTGACTCAGAGAGCTTTTCTGTTTTGTTTTGGTTGTTTGTTTGTTTTTGTTTTTCGCTAGTGAGTTATCAAATGCCTAAAGCTGGGGATTGCAATAAAAGGCTGAGAGCTTTCTAAGGGTTTGCTGGCTGGGAATGGACACAATCTAATTTTGTGCAAAAATGTCCAGCTGTATTCTCCTCTATTGGGCTCTTGACAGAGGAATGTCTGTAGACTGCTGCTTTGGAAATATAGATCTAGATTCTTGTTATGGTCTATGTCTAGATGTCCCCCAACAGGAGCATGCAGTCATAGGTGGGTTTTTTCCAGAGGTGGCTGGATCTGGAGTGTGTGTGGCTGGGATTGTTTCGTGGTGCAATGCTAGGCTCAAGGGCACTAGGATTAAGGGTGTGAGTGCCATCCGCCCTAAGTAGTTTGGATAAAATATAAGGGGCAGAAAGATACTGTTAAGGTCCATCCCTTGCTTTTTTTTCTATCTTCTGCCTGCCATGAACTGTTTCTCTTCTGCAAGACCTGGGGGCCATACCACCCTGCCTCGGAGCCACCCGATTACGGACGAAAGCCACTAGAATCTGTGAGCTAAATAAACCTTTTCTCCTCTAATTTTGGGTGTCGGGTACTTTGTATCAGAAATGAGAAAAGTAACTAAGACAACTCTGGAGGTGGAGAGCAGTGGTAGGGGAAAGCCTTTTTGGCTGTGAGTTCCAGCCAATTTTCCAATCCTCCACAACCAGCAGTGAAACCAGTAGAAATCTGAATCCTCTATTTGTTTCCCATGTTTGTTTATTAGGTGATTTAGCATTGTAGGGCAAGGGATGACCATCCCCAGCCCCAGCCCTAACACTGTGCCTAGCACATGGCAGGTGCTCATCAGTATTAATAAATAAATGGATGAACCCATGATCACATTGCAGAGAAAGAGTCTTCATGAAATGGAACATGGAAGAAAAGTTGGGAGAAATGAGTGGGAAGATGGGGAAAAATTTTGCAATACGATGTATACAAGTTGTAAGGACAGATCCAAGTGGTACATGATGGGTCATGGCCCATCAGAGGGGGCTAAAGATGAGGAAGACACAGATGTCTGAGGACTCAATCAGATGAGACACCAAGAGATGATGTCTGTGTAGGGATGGAGGGGTAGGCTTTCTAGCTACATAGAGGAAACGCATGATAAGTGGTAACAGAAGGCAGAGAAGCAAAAGTAAGTGATGAGCTCAAAACGGGGCTTAATGGGTGAGAGCATCCTCTTGGTTGGTGGTGGATGAGCAAAGGGCTCCTGAAGGTCATGGGCTAGCCTGCAAGCTGGGCTTCAGTGGACTGGTGGTCAGGGGTAAGAGCTGAGTTAGTCAATCTTTGAAACTCCCTTCCAGCTTTGGGAGTGTCCATCTGACAAGGCAAACCCAGAAAGAGGCTAAGCCTTCCCAAGTAGGAAGTGCTCCGAAACTGAGACTCCTTCAACTTAGCAGGTTGGAGCCTGTGCTGAGTGGCTTGGAGCTTCCTTCTCATCTACCTTCTTGAGGGTTCAGGACATCCGAGGGGCCAGGAGTGTTCAGCTTGCAGTAGACATGGCCGGAGATGACATTCCAAATGATAATCTCTCCATCATAACTGGAGGTGGCCAGAAGAAGGGGTGGGCATTGTGCCACACAGAGGATGTCCTTCTTGTGCCCATGGTTCTGAGAAAGAGAAGGGCAAAGCTAGGAAATAAAGCCCTAAATCACCCACACCTGGCTTAATATCCTTGATCCCTAAGATGGAGGATCCAGGGGGGCTCCTCTTACTATGGTAGGCCACATTAGAATCTCACCTGGAACCTCCATGGATGGTCTGTCTTGAGGTAACTCATGAGATACTTTACCCTCTCCTAGGGCCTTACCTTTCCCAGGAAAGTGCTATTTCCAGTGGCTTTTTTACCTTATCATACTGCTGGCAAGCATGTTATTGATGAGATCACCTCACTGGGCTGAAGAGTTGATGACAATGGGATAACAGAACCGGAGCACTGCCCTAGGTCACTTGCTTTCCCGATAGCCAGAGGTTCACGTCCAAAGGTATGGAGGATTGCAATTTAGTCTCAGCGGGGCTCCCATCTGTCCCACATAGTAGCTTACATGTGCTGTGAGGAATTCAAACCACTGCTGGCCTCTAAAGGAGGAGTTTTGGATATGAACCACAGGAAAGGTAAGAACCCAAAATGGATTGAAGAACAATGCCAGAGTTCAGAGCCCCTGCATTTCATCTGTCATGGCAGGGCAGTTACTATGGAAAGGGAATTGGCTTCTCTCGGCCCTACCAAGATATTCTTTCACCCTCATGTACTTGCCAGAGTGTCCCTTAAGCACCTGCACAGCATCACCTGAGACTCCCCTCCTGACTGAACACTGCTGAGAAGGTGGGCATTGTGAGACTTCTAGAAAAGAGGAGGCCAGTGGCCATCTTCCCAAGCCCCTGTGTTTCCAGATCCCCACTCCCAGCCCACCCCTGTGCAACATGTGAACGTTAGGACTGGCTTCCTCCCTGCATGGCCCCCCTTCCTGCAGAATGAAGTATACATCTCTGCGACGGACTGAATACTTGTGTCTCCCATCTCCAATTCACATTTTGAGGCCCTAGCACCTAAGGCGATGATATTTGGAGGTGGGCTCTTTTGGGAGCCCTAGAGCCAGACAAGGTCATAAGGAGGGGTCCTCGTGATGGGACTAGTGTCCATACACGAGCAGGAAGAGACGTGAAGTTCACTCTTGCTCTGCCGTGCAAGAAGGTGGCCATCTACAGGCAGGAAGGCAGCCCTCACCAGAACCTGACCTTGCCGGCACCCTGATCTCTCCCCAAATTTCAGTTTCCAGAACAGTGAGAAACAAACTTCTGTTGTTTACACTGCCCCATCAGCAGCACTGTGTTAAGCCAATGAAGCAGACCAAGATAATACTGTAGCATCTCTTTCAAGCTCTACTTTTCCAGCCTCCTTCCCCTCCTGTGTCAGTGCTTCTGCCTCTCAGACCCTTCCCACTCTTTCCGAACAACACGCTTCTGTGTATCTAGGCTTTGCTCATGCCGCCTTCTATCTTGTCTGGATTGCTGTTTCCTACTTTATCTTTCTGGGATAGAAAACCTAGTAATCTTTTAATACCCCATGTGACATCATAACAAAGTTAGTGGTTCCCACTTCTGTGCCCCTCCAGTATTTTATACATTATTATACTGCCTATTTTGTACACTCTTATATTGTAATGTTGCAGGACTACTATTCCTTCAGTTGTTCATCTCCTTCCCATTCTCTGAGATTCTGGAGGCCAGGAATCACATTTTATTCATGGTTATGTCATTTTCACCTGTCCACTGAGGATGACACTATCCAAATGCTCAAGAAGCACAGGTGAGGGGCTGGGGATTTAGCCCAGCGGCACAGCACCTACCTGGCAAGCACAAGGTCATGAGTTTGATTCCTGGTACTGGAAAAAAACCAAAAAACAAAACAAAACAAAAGAAACACAGGTGAATGCCGGGCATGGTGGCACGCACCTGTTATCCCAGCACTTGGGAGGCTGAGGTAGGAGGACTGCTATGAATTCAAGGCCAGCCTGGGCTACAAAGTGAGCTGAAGTCCACTGAACTGCATAGTGAGACACTGTCTCAAAAAGACCAAAAAACCCCCCAAAAAACAAAACAAAACAAAAAAACCGGAAACAGGTGAATCATGAACTCACGCAAGAATTCTCTTGCCGTGGCCAATTGCTTCCCTGGATATTTTGTGCATAACTTTGCATTTCCATCCCACATACACTAAACTGCAAGCTTCTGAAGGCAGGCACTGTACCTAGCTTTGTTCATCACTGTATCTTCAGTAAGCAACACACACGTGCCCCACCAGAGGTGCTTAGCAAATGCTTGCTGTGTAAGCATTCACTGGGCAACTATTATAAAGTCAAGCTTCAGCTCAGGTCTGTCCTCATGGAGTTTGTGTTCTAGTGAACGGTACCTTTTGTAATACTTACAGGGGACATAGGGGCTGAGGCAGTGGCACGGATGAGCACAGCAGCTTTGCTTCCTTGACTCATCTTACTGGCTTAGGATCTAGAGAATTTTGAGGAAGGCAAATCAACCCTGGGAAGCTGTGGAAAGTTGGGGGCATTCTGAGTCCTACTAAAAAGTGCAAGTAATCCCCTGCCTTTGCACCTCTTACCAGCCACAGGGTAGCAGGAGCGTCATCTCCTAGGCCCTCTGACTGCAGGATGATGAGATAGAGAATACAGGGTTTGGTTCACCAAACAGAAGCGAGAAGTGGATGCTTCTTTAAGGAAAATCACACCCACCCTTGTCCTGAGCTGCTCTTTATGCGCTTTAGCGCTCCCACTTGGAGCATGGAGAGCTGCATGCACGGCCTCTGCTCCAGTTTAAACATGAAGTTATCAGCCCTTCACAGAGAGGAAGCACTACCTGGACCTGTGTGTGCCTGGGCCTGATAATAAATCCTATTACAGAACAGGCTCCTGACACACTGTGACCACCCAAGGCAGGTCCCTGGCAGGGGGAGCCTCTGGGGGAAGGAGATCCTCATCATGTGCCACTGTGTGTTTAGAGGGCCAGATAGCAGACTGGGGCTCACCAGGTCATCCTTCCAGCGTGGCTGTGCCTTCCAGAAGTGGTGAGAGTCACATGGTGCATCCTGTATCCAAAGCCGAAGAGGACTCATTGTACAAGCAATAAAACAAGCTGCCAACACACTCAGAACTTCAGAGAGAAGGTGTTGGCACATTTAATAACCCTACCCCTCACCCCACCAGTGATGCAGATTTTTGAAATGTCAAAGCAAATTCCCTCAGTGCCAGCGGGAATAAAAAGCAATCCACTCCTGACGTTTGGGTGATTGCATTTCAGCAAATCATATGTCAACTGACAAGCTCGCCCCGGATGGGCTGCATAGTTTTGCCTTCATAATAAGACCCATAGCTGTTGCGTGCAGTAAAACCAAATCCATCGGTCCACAGAACCTGTAATACCAAAGGACAAATTCAACTCCAGGACTTCCTAGGTCGCCGTCTCTCACATCATTCTGAGGATGCAAAGCTAAGACTATGAAATATGGTGCACTTTCGGATGAATAAAGAATGTTTATTGTTTAAAGACATTCAGAAATCTATGACCGCCTAGCACAGCAAGCAGGGAAAATAAAATGCCACGGGTAGATTTAAAATTTAGTTTTGGTCAACATTTCCAATAATCCTCTTCCCCAACGCTAAGCCATAAAAAAGAATTTTCTCTCTGTAGAGCTGTTCATGGATGGCATTTCATTTTTCTTTCTGTTTAGAGAGGGACTAAGGCATAAAGACAAGAAGCTAAAGGAATGAAGTAAAGGCCGGACAACTGACAGGTTAATCTTCATCCCGGAGTGTGCACATGCGCAGTATAACCTGGCATGGTGCTCAGGAAGGACCACTACCTGGCGCGAGAGGGCGGGGACCCCGGAAAAGGGCTAGAGGCAGGAGCAGAACTATAGGAGTTTGAAGTGCAGTTTGGTTCGGATTCCCAGGGATGCCCTCTGTGGGTGGCCTGACAACATTTCTATCTAGCGTTCCTGCCCATGAAAGGAAATGCAGGGGGAAACTGAGAAACAAATGAGATAAAAATATTTTTAAAGGAACTAGGAAGAAAAGAAAAAAGAACGAGGAATACAGAGAGTGAACCCTTCTATCATAATTTGACTTGTACCAGATAGTAATGGCTTTCCAAAACCTATTTTTAAAAGGAATGTGTGTTTGTGTGCATGTATCAGTTTGAAATAGCCTTGTTTTGTACATTTCACTCACAAAACACGTTCGTTCTTCTGTCCCATCCAACAGCTATAATACACCTAGGACAACAACAGTCCTTTACATTTCAGTACTGAAACTTTTCATCTGTTTAATTTTTTTGTGTGGCGTTAATATCCAGTTTAATTTAATCCATGTGATACACGAAGAGAACAAGAATATAAGCTGTGTTAATTCTTATGAATTATGAGAGGAAGTGCACTTTGGTAAGTTAGAGTCAGTGTTTTAAGTGGTACCTCAAGGATCAGGAGACAGAATCGCGACACTGCACCGTTCTGAGTGTTACAAAGGCTCCTCCACATAGCTGCCTTCCTGACGATTACCTGATCCAAAGAGTACGGCTGAGCATCCAAGCAAAGCAATGTACAGAAACTGATCAAAAATTGCTTCACCTTTTTAGTGTTCAAGAGGGAATTTGCTGAGCTTTTGTCTGTTGATGTATGGTGGTTGAATTTAATTGCTCTGGGCTCTGATTTATTCCTTAATCAAGCGTTTGGTGGGAAGCTGCAGAATTTTCCATCTGTTTCTAAATAGTTATTAAAATTTTCAGAGAATTGCTCCCATATTCTAGGCTAAGTCACCCCTAGGAAATAATTGGGGTCCTCAGGAATACACACTTTCTTCTGGGAAATTCCCTGTGTCCTTTTGATACCTCCCTCCAGGACAAACTTTGTGTTGAAAAATAAAACACAAAAAACACCCCACGAAATCTCTCTCATATTAAAGCTGAATAGTACTCACTTATTTTGGTTCACTTCCATGTAGGTACAATCACAGAGTTCACTTTGGTTTTCCTCTAGAAAGATAATATTACCACTTACAGCAAACACTTTTCCTTGTTAGTTCTTGAATCAGCTTATATAAATGAACTAATCTACCTGAAAATGAGAGAAACCACTGTTACCTTCCCAGTTTCTAAACCACAGTTAAAAGTGTTTCAAGTCCAAAGTACTGTTGATTTGGGGCACCCTCAGTGTGCTACAATGCTGCTTCAGCCCTTGCTTAGCTGGGAGCAGGGGCTCGGCTTGTCCCAATAGCACCCTAACATCATGGCAGGTACTGCACAGACAGCAGAGATGGTGCTGGGAAATACAGGCTGTGGCTTTCGCTACTTGACTTTGATCGTTTTTGTCTCTTACTCTGACTTCAATCTTTCCCCTCTGCTATTTGTAGAATGTTTGCATTCCATGTAGGACTCTTATAGGCCAGAATCAGGAAATTTTAACCAAGAACAGTCATAGCAAATGAATGAATGAAGTGAACAGCCCTGGGTGGGGTGGATAACAATAACAAGAGACTTGCTTTCAGTTTGTTAATCTAGATTTTGACATATGTGATTGTGTCCCTGTGAAACTCAAGTCCAGAGTCATTAATAATACAAAAGGCCGGGAAAAAGAACGTGGGGTTGTTACACAAATCCTAGGTTCCCTCTCATTTGATTTCTTTTATGTTCAGTACAAATGCCTAATGTTGCATCAGTATTTTATGGGGACCACTTAGGAATATCCCAGCAGTACTTGTCCCTTTTCAGGGTGTGTAGACAATGTCCACTGTTGTAGTTCCATATTTTCAGACAGCCGTCTCTGCCTCCAGTAGTTAACCTAGGAAACAGAGAGTTCTATTGGGTGACATGACAGGAATGGACTTGCTGAATGGTGGAAGATACGGGAAAGGCACATACCTTCCTCCACTGGAGTCAAAGGTCAGACAAGTGACCCCAGCCTGGCCGTGAGCCCAAGTGAATTCAGATAACTGTCTCCCTGTTTCAAAGTCCCCTATTCTCACCATCTATACAAAAAAGTTGAAAAGTAGTGATCTAGAGGTACTGACAATTAAATTAAAGGGAATTGGCAATGCTAGCCTCATAACTATTACAGATGAAGTGTAACCTGAAGGCATATGAACTGAAAGTCTTACCTGAATTTATTTACTTACTGGGATTTCCATAACAATACTACAGGCAGCTTCAAGAACAGAAACATACTGTTTTACGGTCTAGAGGCAAGAGACTCAAGATCAAGGTGTCAGTAGGGTTGATTTCTTCTGAAGCCTCTCACCTTAAATTGTGCATGCCTACCTCCTCATTGTGCCTCATGTGGTCTTTCCTCTATGCATAACCTTAACTTATCTAGTCTCTGTGTCCTGATCTCCTTTTATAAGGATACCAGTCAGAATAGATTAGCGACTCTAATGGTTTAATTACAATTTAATCACCCTTTACAGGACCTACTCTAAAAAGGAACTCATACACGCTGGTGGTGGTGGGATTGCAAATTAAAATAGCAATTGTGGAGATCAGTATGGAGGTTCCTCAGAAGATTAAAAATAGAACTGCAGAAGATTAAAAATAGACTCCAATACCCGGTATATATTCAAAGGAAATGAAATCAATGCATCAAAGAGACTGCTACTCCCATGTTCATTTCAACACTATTGTCAATTGCTGAAATATAGAATCAACCCAAGGGTTCATCAGCTGGTGAATGAATGAGTAAAATAAAGATATTTATACACACTTTTACATGGGCACACACACAACGGAATAAAAAGAATGAAATCCTGTGCTTTGCCACAACATGGGTAGAAAGGGAGATCCAGTTAAGTGAAGTAAGGCAGGCACAGAAAGACAGGTACCACACCTCATTCATAGGTGGGATATAAACAAGTTGATGTCACAGAAGTTGAGAGTAGAATGTTGGGTTAATAGTCACTGGGGAGAGTAGAAAAGGTGGGAGGGTGGGGAAATTGATCTGTTATGGTTAGATAGGAGCAAGCAGTTCCGGTGAGCTGTTGCACAGTACAGAGACTATAAATATATAACAACAATGTACTGCACACTTCCAAAACCCAGAAGAAAGATTTCGAATGTTTTCACTAGAAATAAAGGATGAATATTTGAGGAGATAGATCTATATAACGTGATTTAAACATTACACAACTCCCATATTATATACGGCTATCTATAATGTTGTAACAGAAGTTGTAGCTGGTATAAAATATGTTGTAAATGTTAACTGACCATTTATGAATTTTCATTGTGCAGTTTTCAAACATTTTCAGAGGTACCAAAAGTGGGTGGTCCTGAGTACTTCTATGCTATCACCCAGTGAACAAATGGTGGTATCATGATTTTCATAAATTTGGGCCCCATGAAGATCTTGGACCATACTCCTTCCTCCACAAAAGTCAAGTGTGAAGTGTGGTTTGAATGCTCTGGGTCATGATGGTGATATTACAAAGATTCCACAGAACAACATCTGTACAAAGTGGGCACTTACTGAAATCAATAATGTCACTCACTTAATGTTGGAGAATTTTGTTATGGGTTAAATATGAAGTGTCCCCAAAGACTCTTGTACTAAGAGCTTGATTCTCCATGCACCAGTGTTCAGAGGTGGGACCTAGAGGGGTGATTGGATCATGAGGTCATGGGCTTCATCAGTGGACTAATAAATTGATGAGTTCATAGCTGAATGGGCTATTAGCAAGAGGCGGGGCTTAACTGGAAGAATAGGTCACTGTGGATGAAAGGTAAATCTTTCCCTTGTGCTCTTCTCTCTGGCTTTTTATCTCTCATTCCCAGACTGCCATGAGATGAGCAGCCTTCATTCACCATGCCCTCCCACCATGAAGTTTCTTCCTTGAAGCCAGCTGACTCCGGACTGAATCCTCTGAAACTGTAAGCCAAGTAAAGCTTTCCTCCTTTTATGTCTATTAGGTATTCCATCTCAGCAGTGGAAAAGTAACTAATACAGGTTTGCTTCCAAGTGCCTCCTACAATAATAGATGTGAGCCTTTATGTCTTCATTCAACGTCTCCTTACCACCTACTGCCAGGGAGAGATGCTTATGAAATCAAAGTTATTGAGAAGGCAGACTGTATTGCTATAGAAGCCCAGGTGCTAAAGGGCTTATTCTTTTTGCCAGGATTTGTGATGAGTTGAGAGTAAGAACATTGCTCAGAGGAGTTGATATCTGAGTTGTGTCTAGAAGAAGAAGAAGTTTTGATGGATCAAGAAGGAAAGTAGAAGAAAAATACATGCTGGTTCCAAATGTCTGCTGCCTTGTTGAGGGTGAGCCTCACTGCCATGATACACTGCTACACTGTGATGTGGAGTATTATCTGGGGATGGTCAGAAAGAGGGTGAAACCTGCTTGAGTTGGGAACAGAAGAAAACTTTTACTAGCAAATGGGATCTGAGTTGGACCTGGAAGGATCTTCAGATGTGTGTAGGAAAAGTGAAGGAGACAGGAAAGTTCCTGACTGGACAAAAGAAAAGGTTGAACAGAGGAATGAGCAGGATGCTGAGAAGGTAAGACTTCTGGTTTCATAGGAGTGACCAGAGACTCTGATATCTGTGGAAGATAAGTACTTCCTCATGAGCATGGACTCCAAATATGTAGCCCTCACCTTCAACTGAGTCATTGTGAAAATACTTTCGACCAGCATACCAGGAACTAACAAACATTAAGTATTTTTAAACAGTTAATAAAATCCTGGCCATGAAATGGAGCAAGAACTGGTATGAGGACAGTGCAGTCTCCCTAGGAGTGAGGTGGGATGAAAGGGTGTGAAGAGTGTGAGGCAGACCTGTTGAGTGGTATGGGGTAGGACCAGGGCTATGACCGCATAGCTAGGAGGGCCTGGCTTTGGAAGGAACCAGAAAGGAGGTAAGGTCACATGCCCTGGCTACTCCTCTGTGATGCTGCTCAGGCCAGTGGCTCAGAAAATGATGAACTAATAAAGTCACACACTGCATAAAGATGCTCCAGTTAAGCATCCACTGCACGCAAAATAGTGGGCCCATGAGATTATAATGGAGGTAGAAATGTTCTATCCCTAGTGGTGTCATAGCCATGTAATATTCTAGTGCAACACATCACTCATGGGTGTGGGTTGACACTGGCATACATGCACCTATGTGCTGCCAATTGTGTAAAAGTATTTGCAGTGTAGGCAAGTGTAGTACCACTTGTGGTGGCCCATGCCTGTCATCACAGCATTCAGGAGGCAGAGGCAGAAGGATCACTATGAGTTTGAGGCCAGCCTAGGCTACATAGTGAGTTCAAGGCTCCCCTGAACTGTGGAGTAAGACCCTGTGTCAAAAAGAAAAGTGTAATAATACTTGATACTGATGATAAATGACTGTTACTTGTTTATAACCCATATTTTCATCATTATTTTAGGGTGTGCTTCTAATTATGGAAAAAAGCACACTATAAAATAGTATCCCACATTATGCTGGCAGCAACTTCAATATCTTATGCTTACAACTCTCTTGATTATCTCTTGTGTCTTGTCCTTGACTTGACCTTGTGCTGCTTTATTCATCATTCTCCTAGGAGGCCTGAGTCCATAACAGGCCTGAGTGCGTAGTAGGGTATAGCATCTAGGTTTGTGTAAGTTGTACTCTATTATGTTCACATAGTGAAGAAATAACCAACAGCCTCCTTTTCTCAGAATCTATCACATTGTTAAGTGACACATGACTGTGTTAGGAGATTTGAGAACACTGAAACATTATGTGTAGTTGGAGTGTGTCTTCCCACTAGCACAAGAGCAGAAGAAGATGAATTGTAAGATGTGCGTATTTCCCTTATTCAACAAGCAGTGATTATGTCACTCACCTACTGTGGACAAGAATATAGATGGCACTGATCCCACAAGCCCCTGAGTGAGGGGAAGGGAGTGTGGAAGGCTCTGTCCCTTTAAACCTGAATTGGACTTAGAGTTTATGAGGGGAAGAGTAATTGCTTTACGCCATACAAGAGAATTTCAGTGGAATAATACCACCAAGATGGTCCTTCTAAATAGCTCACGCTACAAGCCACTGGAGAAAGCTTCATTTCCTCCATCCTACCCTTTAGAAGAAAGCCCAAGCAATTTGAGATAATTAACACAGTAGACCTGAGCCTCCCACTGTGTACTTCCAGGGATGGAGTATCCCCCAAAATACTCCTCATTTCTAACAGGAGGACAGAGGGGCCCACACTCACAGAGACACCACTGACAAAGGAGAAGGAACTGATACTTACAGATGCTTCAGAGCAGCTGACCACATGCCTGAAGGCTGGGTTGTACCTGCAGCACACCACAGGCTCTTGGTGGGAAAGCACCAGGTGGGGCTCTGGGGAAGGTCTTGTTCATGAAAAACAGAGATAGTGACAGCCTGAGCTGATTGCATGGCATGGACACCCAGAAGGGGACACCTGCTGCTCCACGACAGAATAACCAAGAAGATAGGCTTTGGGGTCTGGGACCCTGGGAAAGTTGCTTAACTTCTCAGAATACCAACTTTCTTATCTGTAAAACAGGAATAATAATACCAACTCCAAAGGGTTGTTTTGAGGGTTAAATGAGAAAAAATTCAACAGCATCAGCACAGAGCATCCATACTGTGAGCACAGTGGCGGCTGAGTAAGAAAACAGAGAACCCACCTCTCCCCTTTAGGGCAGGGGAAATGTGATTCTGCGAGATTACGCAGTGCCTCTTCGCCACAGTAATTTAGATTTCCCCCCAAAACAAACACAAATGGCGTAGCCCAGGAAGGCAGCAGCACTTCCTGCTCCTGTGGGAACAAGGTCAGCCAGAACTGGGAGGCCACGTGAGGTGACTTCACAGCTGCCCAGGTGTGAAGGGCACCCCTGAGCAATCAAAGCCTTGCCTCACAAGCTACTGTGGGAGGTCAGCCCACAGAACAGACCTTGAGGTTTGTGGAGGACCACTTGGGTGACTCTCCTCAAAAGAGGAGCCAGCATTTCCATTTTGGCTAAACCTGGCCCTATTTCCATGTACTGATATGCACAGAGCTGACTAGCACATTTCCTTATCCTCTCAATTGGCTTTAAGCAATGCAAATGGGTCTAGCTGGGGCGCTGACGCCTAGCCTTTGAAGCAAGGTGACAGGTCAGTGAAGCTGTGCCTACAGCTCCCAAATAACACGCGTGAGCTAGGCTGTGTGTAGCTGGGATGAAAGAGACAGTGACATCTCAAGGCATAAAAAATTACACATCAAAGCTGAAGCACCGGCCCCAAAACATTAGATACTGCCTCACTGTGTTATGCAGATTACTTTTTCTGCATATCTTTCTCTCTGCATATTGCTGTGATTCCAGGTGTCCTACCTTGCCCAGCTCATTGCATTACTTCCAGCCACTCACTATCACTTATCCCGGAGCCACTCTCTTCTTCACTAGTTAATAAAACCTGGGTTTGGCCCTGGCTTGAGGCCTTTGTTCCAGTTAGTCATCATACTAGCTGGATTTAGGGCCTCTTTGGTTCCCCACAACTACAAATATGCCTTAGTGTCTTCATTCTCATCATGCATTGCACTGGAAGTGGTAGGTTGGAATTAACTTACTAAAATTCGAGTAACTGTCCCATAGGATTACAAATGGATTTTTCTGGACTGCATCAAGGTCTAGATGCGTTTTTTATAGGGGTTAAGAAGCCCAATCCCATTGGAATAATTTCTTCATCTGCATAATGGAATCCTTATGGAAATTTTCTAAGGAGTGAGGGGAGTCTGTTAGTTACTGTTCTCTCATTGCTGGGACAAAATATCCAGGGCCTAAAATTAAGGAAGGGAAGGTTTATTTAGCTCACAGTTTGTGGAGGTTTCAGTCCATGATCAGCTGGCTCCAAGGTAGGGTGGCACAGGGCAGAGGGCAACAGTTCAAGGTGGCAGAAGACAGAAAAAGCAACCAGAGCAAGAAAGCGGGGGAGAAGCAAGCCTCTTTTCTTCCCTTATACTGTATGCAGGCTACCTGATCTTGGGTGGGTGTACTGAGGCCACGCTGCTGTAGGCAGCTAAGATAGACAGAAACATTATAGGTAGTCAGATAGGGCTGGGCCTTCAAAGGAGCTGGTATGGAAGAGTCACTAACCCAATGCTCTATAGGAAAGGCCCCTGTTCTGTATTCTTGCCCCCTTGCTAAGTGACTTGCCTCCCCATTTGATGCTGATTTAATCAATTTTACCTGAGCAATTATACTCAATCTCTTTGGCTGATCATAGTTTTGTTCCACGCCATGCCCACCTTGCGAGTTCTCATTTTCCCCTACTTTGGACCCACCTCACCTCGTGGATTTGCTCTATAAAAATCCCTAGAAGAGGCATATTCCTTGGCAAACCACTCGAGTCCCTTTCTGTGTCTCTCCCAGACAGAAGCTTTCTTTCCTTCAATAAATATTTTCTGCTTTTAACCTCTATTGTTCCTAAAATTCATTTTTCTATTTTAGAGAGCCTGAACTCATCCCAGATATCTAGCAGGTTGGGAATTTCTTTCCTCTGTATCAACACCATGGTATTGTTCTCCTCTTGCACAGGCTCAGGATGTTTACAAAGTAAGGACCCTGGCCCCTTGCTAAGTCCACTTAGTTAAACTTCTAAACTTCTCAAGTTGACCCAATAAACAACATCCTAGAGCAAGGGTATGACCCTAGGATGCAGAACTGCTGAGTTACTTAGTTAAGCTTTTAGCCTTCTCAAGTTGACACAATGTATCAGTCATAACAGGGGGGCACACATAAATGTCTGGAGGAGCTCTACATGCAGTGGATGCTTAATACAGATTGTTGGTTCTGTGTGTCACTGTGCTGTCATCTTTCTCTGTTGTCTCTCTGCTGTGTAGCCCCAAGGCTCAGCTCCAGGAGAACAATGAGCCTCTGACATATCTCAAGCATTGGTGCCCAGAAGCTTCTTTGAGGAAGAGCAGGTTTTGATACAGGGATGTGGAGAACTTCCTTATGAACCTGGGCTTTGGAAAGTAAAGATGGAGTATGGCCAGGGTAGCAAGAAGAAGGAGGGCTATAGAGAATCCAGGCTGAAGAAAAATTTCTGGGCATGCCCGGCAGCCTCGTTTCTCTTTCCCAACCTTGGGAAGAAAGAGCCGACTGCTGTACTTCTCAGATGAGCGTGAAATATCTCAATCCAGGTCACATAGCTCCTGAGTGACAGAAGGGATGAGTAGGCCGGGAGGCGGGGGGGATATTTCCTGTCACTTAAGTGTTGGCACTAGAGATTGAGGTTGTATTTGCCATGAAGTGGAATTTCACTCACTTCGCCCCAAAAGAAATCAATCAAGCAGGCTGTTTGTTTTACATAATGCTATCATGTAGAACAAACAGCAGTTTGATTGACTGAAGCTTCTGTTTTCAGCTGGTTGTTTTGGCATCTTGAGCGAGGAGCCCAAGATTGTTTCTGAGCCTGGCTGGTGATCATGTGTCAGTCACTCTGCCTGGGCTCTCCTGTTCCGCACAAGCCTCAGGAAGCAGATTAGGAAGGGTGTGATGGCCACCAGCCAGCACCTCACATTCTGGACTTCCCCATGGGATTCTGATGTACAAAAAAGGATTATTTTTCTATCAGGCTAATTCTTGACCTGTGATGTGATTGTTGAGTACAATAAATATATTTGAGACTCCCCCTATGCCTACATTCAGAAACTAAGAAAACACATCCATGAGGTCATCTTTATGATCTCCAGCTCAGAAAACCCAGTTGTCATTACGAGACAGACAGGATTTGAAATATATGAACTGTGATATTCACTTGTAGAAACTTTCCCTCTGCCTTGTCTTGGATCATGTTTACTGACTCTGGATTTGTAGTACTGCTGAATACCAAGGGGAAAAGCTGCTGATGGGGAAGGATGAATGAATTTATGCTGGTACATAAGGGAGGGATAACGGGGAAATACCAATGAGCCACGTTTGCACCATGAGCTGGCCTTAATGCTATCTGTGCTTTGGGAATACAGAGAGTTTTGATTCTTAAAGCACAAGTGGGGAGCCCTGACGCCTGTCGGCAGAGGAGGGGAGAGTTCTTTCCCTGCAGAGCCTGAGAGAAGGGTTGACTTACTTCACAGCCACTGGGCCTCTTAGGACTGTCGAAGGGAAGCTTTCTTTGCAGGCTCTGGAGAAGTGGGACCAGGCAATGTGCCTTTTATTGTGCAATTTTTCTAACTACAAGTTTTCTCTCCTCTTTGATGTCTTGGAGAGCTTTGGTGTTTCAGTGACAGGGGCAGTTGCAGGGAGAATACCAGGGACTGGGCACCCAGCCACAGGGCACTCATCCCAGCTCTAGTCCAGTTCTGCCCTGGGACAGTGCCTTCCTTTCTCTAGGTCACTGCTTGCTCATCTGTGAACGTTTAGGGTTGGACTTTTGGGACTTTTTCATACTCGGGGGACAGACTTTAAAACTTTAGTGAGACTAGTCAGTCCGAGCCAATGCAGGACAGAGATGGACACCTGGATCTGACTAACGTTCAGTGCTAAGTGGCTTCTCTGAGCACAGAAGGGTAGGCAGCAGTTTCCTGTTTTCCTTGTAGAGGACACCACGCCTGTATGGCCTGGCAAAAGATTGCCAAGGAAGCAGAGTATTCACTTCCAGAGGGGTCAAAGAGACCTGGGCCTGTAGTCATAAAGACTCCTGAACACGGAGGCCCACTGAGGAGGGCCTTATATAGACCCAGCTGATCACCTAGCCTGTGCCATCTCTATCTGGCTGTCCTGCCTTACAGGTCTGGGGTACAACAGAGGTATAACTGACCCTACCTGGGGACTCTCTCTACTCAACAGTGCTGGTCAGGTTGATGTCTTTGAACAGCATATGCAGCATCCACATAGCACATTTTTTGAGAAGTTTACTCCAGGGGTGGGGCTGGTAGATGGACTAGGGGTAAGAGGTTAATGAGGTTGACTAGAGACTTTTGCATAGTCTACAAAGATGATGCTAGAGTAACTAGTAGAAAACATTAAAGAAAGCTATCCAAATATAAGCTGCAAGCTAGAGGCACAGGATCTGTGGTTTGGGAACCTGCCCAGAGATCCCAACGGTAAAGCATGAAGGAGAAGGTTAACAACAGCAACACTGGGCTCTACAGAATCCTCTAGAGTGCTGAGTGTGTGGGACCAAGGGAACAGACAGCCCCAAACCTTAGTCTCAGGTGCAGGAGAGCCACGACATTGGTGGCCACACAGACAGCTTGGGGTCCTGGGAGGTAGAGGCAGGCTGTAATTTCCCCCTTAATGCCACTGGCTTTGGAGGAAGCTGTGAACAAGCAGGTTTCTAGATCCCAGATCTGAGGAGGAAATGGGACAAATAACAAGTGATGAATAACCTGCTGGGCTGGCTTTTCCAAGCTGCTGTCTATTGTGAGGACTGGCTTGGCTTGATTGGGTTTAAACACTGCCACATACCCACCCACCAAAAAGAAATGATTCAAACTGTGTGTAAAGGAGGCAGACAGTGAGGTCTGCATTCCTGATCCCTATTTCATACTGAAATATGAATTCAGTATGAAATTCTGTATGAATTTCATACAGAAATTCATACAGTATGAATTTCATACAGAAATTCATACAGTATGAATTTCATACAGAAATTCATACAGTATGAATTCAGTATGAAATTCTCCTCTCCAGAAGAGGAGATACCTGTAGCCATGTCACTCTGGGACTGTGATTTACATTCCCCCCTCGGAGGAGAGGACTGGTCATATGTATTCCCATGGACCCAACTTTCACAGTGGGACTAATACAATAAACCTGATTTTTGGCATAAGACTGGCTTTGTCTCCATTCCTTATGCAGACCCTTGAAACCAGCAACTAGATAGCTATTTGGAAGACATAGAGAACAAACTGCAGAGTGGTTGTTGGTTAGGAACACAGGGGTCCAGTGGCCACCTGCCTGGGTTGGAATCCCAGCACTAACAACTAATGGCTGTGTGGTTTTGGGCAAATTCCTACCCTCTCTTTCCTTTAGCTTCTTCATTTCTAAAATGGGGAAAATAATGATCGTGCCTTCCTTGTAGAGTTGTTTTAAGAAGTTTTGTAAATTAATAAGCAAGAGTGCTTAGGAGATGTTCAGACCATTATAATCCTATGCACAATGATAATGATAATGTTACTGTCAGTCATCTACCATGGCAGGTGTGTAAATCATGCCATGGTTCTTGCATTACTTGGCATAGTGTGACTGGGTGAGGGCTACAAGGGACAGGCAGGAGCAGATGGGCCAAGCACAGAATTGAGAAGTCACAGTGGCCACGAGGCAGCGTGTCTAGTGAGCTAACATGCACAAGACATCACGTTAATGCTTTACACACATTGCCTCATTCACTCTTTGTTTTTGGTTGAATTCTTTCCCCCTCATTCATGTGTTGAAAAATCCCAGTATCTCAGAATGTGTTTTTATTTGGTAATAGGGTCATTGCAGATATGATTAGTTAAGATGAGACTATACTAGAGTAGGCTGGGCTCCTAAGTCAGCATGACTGATATCTTTTTAAAATTTTTTATGTCATTTTAAGAAGAGAAAATTTGGAGGTAGACTCGCAAAAGAGACTGTCACATGAAGATGAAGGCAGAGACCAGTGTGATGTACCCAAAGAATGCCACAGATTGCCAGCACCCTACTAGAAGCGAGGTAAGGGCCCTGGAGCTGACACTTTTGGCAGTCAGCACACCCGAGACACCAATCCGCTGACACCTGATCTCAGACTTTCAGCCTCTAGACTTTCAGACAATACCTTTTTACTGTTAAACCCACCTAGTCTGTGATACGTTATGACCATCTATTAGCTTTCTAGCAGTATAAATACCTATGCAAATCAATTTATAAATAGAAAGTCTCATTTTGGCACACAGTTTTAGAGGTTCCAACCCATGATCAGTTGGCCAGTTGCTTAGAAAACTGTGGCTGGCAGAAGGGTGCGGTTGAGCAAAGGAAAGCAAGGAGGGGCTGGTGTCCCACATGCCCTTTTGAGGGCATGCTGCCAATGGTTTAAAGGTTCCACCTCCTCCTGGTAACACAAGTCTGAGGACCAAGCCTTCAACACATGCACTGCTGAAGAATACCTAAGATCTCTATAACGTAGTCCTAACAAAATGATGCTCTCTTAAATCAACTTTGGCACACAGGCATTATTTATGAGTCTAAGTGAGGTTAAATAGTTTACCCAAATTGACAGAGCTACCACAGTAAGAAGCTAAGGCAGGAGTCAACCTCAGGCCTGTCCCCTCTAGAGCAGAAAAATGAGAAGATGAGAGTGGGTGGGATGTACTTTGATAGGGTTTCTTCCCCTCCGTGGAGTCTCTAGGAAACAAATTAGCTCTGATGAGATTTGAAACCTTGCCTCTTAAACCAGACTCTAATTTGCTTTATTTATACCCTATGTTTATTTCTCATTAGCTCTTCTCAGCAGTTAGCAAATTGATAGTGAAATTTCTAACTTGTCTTTTTTTGTTTGTGCTTTTAGGCATGGCATTAAAGAGGGGGAGTTTTGCCTCTTGGAGGTCAGCATGGGGGCCACGGTAATGACTCAAGTAAAATAATCCTATAGAGAAGGCAGCCCTGAGGACTGCCTATTCAAGGGACCTCCTCTTTCCTTTCTGTCATGTTGATTTGTTGGAAGTTGCTCATTTCCTGGACAGAAAGGTAACATATACAACTGTTACCAGTTATATCTCCACGAGAATCCATTTATGTGTTGATTTCTTCTCACAGTGTTATGGTTTGGCTATGTGTCCCCCAAAAGACTCATGGTGTTGAAAGGTTTGGATGCTGATAGGCTTTTTGGAAGTGATAGGATCATGAGGACTTTAACTTCATTAAGTGATGAAATGTAATTTGATGGCATTATTAGAAGGTGATGGAGTTAAGAGGTAGGTCTTACTTGAAAGGACTGGATTTTGGAAACATGAATTTGGAGACTATATCTGGTTCCTAGCTCCTTCTGCTCTGGTTCTCACTCTCTTTCTGTTTTCAGCCACCATGAAGTGAACAGCTTTGGTCTGCCACGTCATTCTGCCATGAGGCTCTGCCTCACTCTAACTCCCAAAGAATGGAATCAGCTGACCAGGGACGGAAACCTCTGAAACTATAAGCCAAAATAAATGTTTTTGTCCTATAAATTGTTTTCCTCAGTTAGTTTGTCATAGCAATGAAAAGCTAACACACACTGCATGACATGGGTGCTATGGTTTGAATGTGTCCCCAAGAATTTGTGTTACAAATTTAATATCTCAATTCTTATGTTAATGACATTATGGCTTTTGGGAAGTAATGAAATCATAAGGGTGGAGCCCCCATGATGGCATTAGTAGCTCGATTAGAAAAGTAATCCACGGGGACTGGGGATTTAGCTCAGCGGTACAGCGCCTGCCTGGCAAGCACAAGGTCATGAGTTTGATTCCCGGTACTGGAAACAAACAAACAAACAAACAAAAAACAGAAAAGTAATCCATGCCAGCATACTTGTCATGCCTCACCAAGTGATGCCCTCCTCCGTGTTATGAAGCAGCACCTGATGCTTGCCATACGCCTGGTGCCATGCTCTTCAACTTGCCATTAGGTTACAAAGGAAAAGGATTTTGGTGGGGAGCAGGAGCACAAGTTAATCTTAAGTTGGGAAGAGTAATTTCATTAAAATTCTGTGCAGGGGTACCTGCCAAGATCCAAGAGGGAAAAAGTGGGGAGACACTCCTCATACTGAAGTCAAGGTTGATTCACGAAATTGTCATTAAATCTTCCAAATAAAAACAATTATCACATACTGGGCATCACTGACATATCTGTTGCCTGTCCAGCTTCTTTTTTTTTTTTTCCCTCTAAGTTTTGTTCTCTGAAGGCAGCAGGCATGGGACTCACATCTGCCAATCCGTGTCCTTCCCTCAGAATTTTCTCACTGGAGCTGGTGGTGCAACTGGAGTTGGGCTGTGAGCTCAGAGCTGTGGGCATCATGTATTCCCTACCATTTGGGGGAGAAACGCTTTCTGCAGCAGGCACTGATGAGGTCAGTATGTACGAAGGAGCAGAAGTGAGAAGAAAAGGAAGAAAGACTCAGCTCTGAACTCAACTGCCCGCTGGGTTGCCTGTCCAATGACCTGATTTCGGAAACCATCAAATTTCACTTCATAGCTTGACCTATCTGAGTTCAGAGTTGTGTCTCTCAGGCTCACAAAGTCTTACATGGTAAAACTACTCTGTAGTGAGTACAGTTTGTACATTCCCTTTAGTGAACATAGCTACCTTGTAGAGGGGATCTCTCTCCCAGTTTAAAGAGTAACCATTGTCCACAAGAACTAAGTTCAGCATCCAAGGCCACCTTGCTGGTAATTTCAGAGTTTATACTCAAGGTTATATGTCTCCAAACCTTTCTATAGCCCCTCTCCCAAATCCATGCTCTTTGTTGACACATAGAGTTGTTTTTATCAAAGTAAGGCATTTCTAGTCTCTCAGTCATCCAGGGCGGCCATGAACTCAGCCATGGGACTAGGAGAGGAAGTGATGTGTGTCATATCTGGATAGAATTCTTAAGAGGTAAGAGTCCCTTCTCTATTCACACTCTCCTTGGATGTGGATGAAGAGGTCCCTGGGACCTAAACTGAGGTAGGACCTCCAGCTGGAGATAGCCTGGCCCACTCACTAGACTGCTGGCCCTATTGGCAGAGATACATTTTTATTGTGCTAACCTGTGGACAATGCAGAGCTTATTTGTTATAGTGGCAAACCTGACATGAACTAGCACATGTGCTATCTTCCTTCCAAGAATAACTTTCCTTCCATCCCAATTCCAGTCAACACAAAGCAGCCTTCTTTGAGGTTTTCAATGTTAAATTTACAGAAATAACAAGTGAAAAATAAAATCTGACTCTGTCACTTTCCTCTCCTTTACAGAAAGCCAGAAACCAGCAGACTCTTGAAATGTTTTGTGTGTCCCTGTGATTTGAAGGAGTAAAATATTTGGGCTGAAAATCAATTCAAAGAACGAAGACTATCTGATCAGGCTTGCTAGAAATCTAGCTGTTTGGCTCCTGGTTGATTAGTTTTTATTTGATAGGGATAATATATTCTGAAATAACTTGCACACCATATTTCCAAGATAGGATTTCAATATATTTTAAACACACATTGGGAAGTGATTCAATATGCCTGAATCATCACAGGCAAGATGCTAATCTTGTAATCATGAGTTTAGATTGGAAGAAAATAGAGAGGCACTAGGAAAAGAAAACCGGATAGAAGGCATGTCCCTATACACAGAATTATGATTATCTCAGGGCTGCAAGTGTTGAAT